AGATCAGCAGTAAGTGATACCTTCAGACCACAAACTACTTTCTAATGTTTTTTACACTTATGCATTAAGATAGATTTCAAATGATATAATGTAACTATGCAAGTATTCCAAGTGTCATACTTTATACGATAGTATATGTATATTTCTTACTTTTGAACGTCTCTCTCGAGTAGCCGAGTGTGAATAACTCATTTCAAACGGGAGAACCAAGTAGAAGAACCCATTTTCAATCATTTATATATAGTCATATAGATATAATGCTTTGAATATTCAGTAGTTGCATGCGTTATACATGTAATATAATACTCCGTATCATATTTCTTGAAAGTTGAAACAATCTAAGTAGAAGGCGTATGCAAGTTTTTCGTTAGCCTTCTGGACACAATATTCTCATACGACATCCTTATATATATAACTTTTTCCCAAAAAATACAAAATGTATTTTTTCGTGGTGCATCGCACGGTCGGAAATCTAGTACTGTAATATTTAAGCACAAATTGTTAAGGGATATCTTTTCTCCACAAACAAAATAACATCACTAACAAAAAAAATGAAAAACTAGAATTAATATGATGATGGGATGATCAATAAGTAGTGAATTGATGGATTGATGACTTTAAATAAGCTAAAGATTGGTATATTTTAGTATATTTACGATTTTGATTGAGTATGGAACGATAAAATTTGACGTAGCTATACTCTCCAAATCTTGACTTCTCATTAAAATATTTGAGCACATAATGTATTTTACTGTAAATTTTTCAACTATGGCGTCTTTTGGGGCACCAAAGTTCTCCAAGCCAACTCAGAGACTTCAAAATTTTAAAGATATGTGACGGAATATAGGTGGGTTTTGTGTTGGAGTTCTATAGTCCTACACTTTCATAGGTCTCGGCGTCTCGCATAGGAGTTCTCCTACTATTTCAAACGTTCTTTGATGATCAAGATCATGCGTTGTATAAGGTGTACCTCCGAAGCTATATTAAAATCTGAGTTACTTCTCTTATCAGGTTGACCGATGTTTCTTTACTTTTGGCCATATATAGTTTATGTTTGTGACTAAACTTGAGATTCTTGTCTGATTTCTCTTCTTCTTTTTCAACACTACGTCACAGTTACGCATGTAAGTAGGTATAACGTTTATCACACTACACAAAGACCAAGGATAGGCTATTACAATTCACATGCTCAAATCTTATCTTTTATAAATTTTGAATTTGTTATAAGTTAACAAATAAGAAAACCCCTATTTGATCTTAGCTTGACAAAATGTCCGTTGCATCGGATCAATACTCATTTGAAAGAGATTTGTAACATCTGGCCAATTTAGAATCCTTAATTCCGGACTCGAGTTTCTATCTCCCAACGTTTTGAGCCTCAAACTTCAAAGCACACAGTGAAGCTAAACTCAAATAGAAATGATGAGAGTCCTAGAAATGAGGTCTCACAAAAGGATAAGGAGTGACTAAAATAAACTAGGGTTGCACAAAAGAGGTATTATGTTCATGTCACTAACACTAGAACATGAAGAAATCATTCAGTTATTAAAAAATGGGTTTATATGATTGATATTGAATTAATAAAATGAGAATAAAGTAAGAACGATTTAGAACCACACAATCTTCTTAAATTTTGTATGAGACAAATTTAGTGGGACAAACCAAACGAAAAAAATGAGATAATTTTAGCGGGACATAGGGAGTATATTATACGAAGTATTACAAAACTATGTCATTTCATACTCTCTCTGTTCCATTAGGCTTTGTCAACTTTTCATTTTTGTTTGCTCCAAAAACTTTACTACTTTATTTTTAAAGAAGTGATTTTGTGATTCCCTTTATTTCTCTTTGCTCTGCACAAATCTTAATCATACAAGTTTTACCTTTATTATTCCACATTCAAATTAAAGTAGGCAATGTTCCATGGGTCAAAGGTTATAATACGTGTATATGGGAAGGTGGGTGTAGTCCAATGGATGACCATCCACCCCCAAGTCTCTCCTTTGTGGGAGGTCTTGGGTTCAATTCCTACCAAGGGGAGATGAGGGAGGTCTTGCTCCCAATGATTCTTCCTACCTTCACGGAGTTGCTCAGCGGCTGAGAAGGGAGAGGATGGTAATGAAGGTAGCGGGTTCGTGTGGTGGGAGGAGCAGCCTGAAAGGTGATGTAAGTCCTGCTGGATTCGTCCTTTGGAGCGAGTACTGACGAGACTGACTGTGATCAGATCCGGATTTAACTGTCTAGGGGCTTTGGAGGGTAGTTCATAGACTCCAGGATTATGGGAGCGTAAGACCCGACACCTGGATTATCAAAAAAAATTATAATACGTGTATATACTATTTCATGTATTGAGCTTGATTGATGGGAAAATTATGACCCCGCTGCTATACCCGCCCTTTACCACCTGCGTGCCCAACAAATTGGTTAGAGTTCGGATTGTGTTATCCGATTCGATCCGATCCGATCGGATCATGTTATATCCGTTAAACCAACACTCATAATCAAGTATGGATCATTTTTGCTCTGTTAGAAGGTGTACAATTGGAAGAATTCAGAATTTTGATTTTCCCGCACATATGTCTTGAATCCTCTCATTAGAGGTGAAGTTGGGACTTTACAGCTTATTTTCGCATTGGTTAACTCGAGATCCTCATTTAGATACGAAAAATAAATACTCTGTATTGAAAAATTGGGAAATTGCCTTTAATAGGAGTGAAGTGTTGTTTAAATTCCTAAATAAGAGTATGCATATTTTTACTCTCTAAATAAGAGTATTGTTTTAAAATTTCCTTCCCCTCTAAGCTAATTATCTCCAATCATTTGCGGCTCCAATTTTCTTCTTCACTCATCATATAAAGTTTATGCAACGAAGAGATTCAAGGTGAGGCAGTGGTAGCGAGCATCGACGAGCAGCCAGGGAGCATTGGCTAACCACGAATCCAGATCTAGTAGTCGCAGGGAAGTAGCTCGTTGTTATTTCCTCCTCCCCTTCTTCTTCCTCCCGTTGAAAATTCAAGATGTTTTGTTTCTACCAAACGGATGACTTTTTGCCGGCAAAGATGACGTCTTTCTTCTACTTATGCAAACCAAATTTTGCATCACTACTCTACAAAAATGCCATATTTTACGTTGAAGATGCCATTAAGATGTCACTATTGATGCAAGATAGCATTCCTACAAAAAAATATTGACATTTTTTAGGGTCAGTGACAGTGACATTGCTAGAAGACGGCATGAATGAGAGAAGATGCCAACATCTATTTATGTTTTTATCATATATCTATAACAAAAAAAAGTTATTTTAATATTAGAATTTGACAATGGTAGAATTATAATACGAATTATTAAGCACCCCCATTTTGGAGAATACAAACTTCATATGTCTATTCTTGCAACTTAACTTATACTTCTTCAGTTCCTTTTGAATTGAAACAGTCAACATTTCATGTTGCCAACACATAAATTTGATCATTAATATCTTTCATTCCTTATTAGTAAAAAATTTTAAAAATTTATATTTTGAAAATTTAGAATGAGAAGAATTTAACAATATTTTTTTAAAATTTAAATTATAATGCATTCATTAATAAAATTTAGTCAACGTAGAATATGTGAATAGGGCAAAAATCGAATGTTGTAATTTAAAGAGAACGGAGGTAGCTTGTATTATTTCCCAAATTATCTAAAGAAAATTACTACTCAGTATAAAATAATAAAATCATTCGCAGCACACCATACATGTTCATCAAATATTTTTTGGAGCCTCATAAAATTGCATAAATCCCCATATGACTGTGGATCTATATGAATATGTGCTCTACAAATCCCAGTAATCATCTATTTTTATACGGGAAAAAAATGAAAAATGTTTGTGATTTTTTTATCTATTTTTATACCAGTGCTTACACCGTGGAACCGGTGCATGGTGAGCACCATGCACCCTTTGTTATTTTTTATTTCTCCTTTTCTTAAAATTGTTAATAATTTTTTTTTATATTTGATCCGATTTTTATAAAATTTATATCATTTTTTTTTTATTTTTCATGATCTTTCAACTGAGACCAATATTGCCTATGTAATTTTAATTTTTTACATTCATACATTTTTTGTAATATATTTTTATATGCATACATTTTTTCTATAATATTTTTTTTATTACTTTTATATGTTTTTAGAGGTTTTTAAGATATTGAGTTTGTTTATTTTGCTTCTAGCTTGGAGTTACATTTGACAATATACGAAGTTACATCATCTTATACTCCAATTACAAGTTATCATGTGTGAGTTACATCTTGTTATGTGTGAGTTATATCTTGCTATACACGAGTTACATATTTTTATGCGCGAATTACATGTAATTATGTGTGAGTTACATTTTGTTATGTGTGAATTACATCTTGTTATACACGAGTTACATACTTTTATGCGCGAGTTACATGTAATTATGTGTGAGTTATATCTAATTATTTGTGATTTTTTACTTATCTTTATCTTGAACTAATTCAATTATAACTGAATTAATTTTTTTCTTTGCCAATTTAATACAAAATTTTATTAATCCACATAAAATAAGTATATTGTATTTCATATTCATACACTATTTTTCAAATGATAAAAATGAAAGATGTAGCAGAGGTTTATTTCATGGTGTAACTCACATACATTAAGATGTAACTCGCGTATATTAAGATGTAACTCGCGTACAATAAGATGTAACTCACGCAGAAGAAGATGTAACTTCATGATATATTATCAAATGTAACTTCAAAATAATTTGTTAAAATTACATAAGCAATATTGGTCTCATTTGATAGATCATGAAAAATAAAAAAAATTGATATAAAATTAATAAAAATCAAATATCAAATAAAAAAGTTATTACAATTTTTATTAATAAAAGAAATAAAAAATAAAGAAACCTGGTTTTGGAATGGGGCCCATTATCCTCGGTCCGCCGATCACAGGATATAAAAATGAAAAATATGTTCATTTGTGATATAGTGGCAGTCATGCGCAAGCCGCATATCGATTCCATAGAACTTCCCACACGATCAGGCTACAATGGTCCAATCGATGGATGAAACGAAGTACTAACGGTAGAAAACAGACAAGAGTCGGAGGATGACGTTGGTCACATTATCTCCTCTGTCAACTTGTTACTGTTCTCTCTCTGCAACCGTTAATGGCAGAATCGCGACATCCATGGCTGACCCCTTGCTCTATAACCGCTTCCTTTCTCAAAGAAGAAATCTTTCTTCATATACCAGCTCCAAGTCCCGAAGCTACATCAAATTCAAGGCGAAAGGTTTCAATTCGGAGGAGAATTCCCGACCCTCAGTGGCCGAAATTGACGCAGATCCAGGAAAACCAGAGCTCAAGAGCCAACATTTGAAAGACGAGAAAGCAGAATTGTTGGGTAAAGTCTGGGAATGGACACTGCTAGTGTCGCCCTTCTTCTTCTGGGGAACGGCTATGGTGGCAATGAAGGAAGTTTTACCCAAAACTGGGCCTTTTTTCGTGTCTGCTTTCCGATTGATTCCTGCGGGTTTTCTCTTAGTAAGCTTTGCTGCTTCTCAGGGCCGGAAATTCCCTTCAGGGCTGAATGCGTGGCTTTCTATCACACTCTTTGCACTAATTGATGCCGCTTGCTTTCAGGTTTCAATTATCGTGCTTTATAATCAATGCGTGTGGATATCTTGAGTCTGATCGACTAACTAAGGGTCTATTTCAATGGCCAACAGGGTTTTCTCGCTGAGGGGTTGGAAAAGACATCAGCTGGTTTAGGCAGTGTAGGTTGAAATTCTTGAGTGAATTATTCATATTCCAGTATTTACATAGTTTATGAATCAATTGATTTAAGTTGAATCGAGAATTACCTTGGTATTAACAAATTCACTTTTTTGTGTGTGGGTAGTGTGCATTCTTTTTTCACTAATCATTGGAAACAGGGGCGGTGAAATACTTTCGATTTGATATAGTCTAACTCTTGTAATACGAGTCAAAAGTTATGGATCCTCGAAAATCAGCATCATCTAGACTTTAAATAAAATTTGCAGTAACTAGATTTTCCACTGTGCGATGCACGAGACATAGATTATGTAATAGCCATATGATACGGAGTAGTATTTGTTAACATTATTATTTAACATGTAAATGAATGTAAAGAGTATAACTGTACATAACTAGTAATATTAGTTACATCCCCAAATTTTCAAATTAAGGTTTTATTCACTCATTAGCTAAGTGAATTTTAAAATATATTACAAATATATCAAATTAATAGCTCTCTGTCTCATTTGAACTAATATTTATGATTTATCTCACCTACATATGACTTATTCAACTCAAGCATTGACTCAAAACAATCCGACCTTTTTGATGGTGTACATGTCCCAGTTTTGATGCTTTTTTGGCTCCGCCACGGATTGGGAACTTGGTTGGTTTAGAGAAATAAGAAGGAAGGTAAGAGGTGGGTGTCTGGGTGAATTGATATGATTAGTAAGACACATGTATTTTGTATTGCTTATATCTCCACTATATTTTTAGCGATCTAAACTCAGAAGTAATTTAAAAAATACTCTGGAATCCCGGCACCAAACAAGCACTTAAGTGATTGTTGGATTAAGATTGTAATTATGTTGGGTTTAATGCATCGAAACCCCCCGTGAAATATAAATTTGGCGCATTACCCCCTTGTGATTTAAAAAATGCATCAAACCCCCCGTGTTATAATTATTCATGCGCAAAACCCCCTCCAAGGACAAATTTACAGTTTTTGAAATTACTTTTCTTAATAATATGATTGAATATGCAAGTAACCTTGTCAAAATTTCTAAATTATACAAAAAACCTAATTATTTCTCATTTTTTGCAATTAAATTTGTTCATAGAAGGGGTTTTGCGCATGAATAACCATAACATAGGGGGTTTGACGCATTTTTTAAATCACAGGGGGCTAATGCGCCGATTTTATATTTCACGAGGGATTTTGGTGCATTAAACCCTAATTATGTTTGAGAAAGTCATCACCCCTTATGTTATATACACGCATTGTTTCAGGTAATTATTGATTCACAGCCTCTGACAGTGGCTATTCTTGCTGCACTGTTATTTGGGGAGTCTGTTGGATTAGTAGGAGCTGCAGGGCTTGTACTTGGGGTAATAGGTCTTTTGCTTCTTGAGGTATATGCCATTGTTCATTCATGTTGTGCTGCTTTATTCTGTATACCTTCCATTCTAAGAAGATAACCATACAAGCAGATTATTCTCATTTATGATTCTAACTAACACGCAGGTGCCTGCACTGAAGTTTGATGAGACTAATTTTTCTCATTTGAGGGAAAGTGGGGAGTGGTGGATGCTTCTTGCTGCACAAAGCATGGCAATTGGCACAGTAATGTTCCGTTGGGTTTCCAAGTACTCTGATCCCATCATGGCTACTGGATTGGTATAACTCCCACTTTATCATAAGTTTTTAGCTCAAGTAGGGGTCTGTTTGGTAAGGGTTATTTGGTAAAGTAAAATCGTTTAGTGAAGTAAAATAATATCCATACCCCTCTTCCGAATTTCACATCGTCAATGTTTAGAGTTTTATTTTTATATTCAAAGAATTTGTTATGCAGCACATGGTTATTGGTGGCCTCCCTTTGGCTGCTATCTCCGTGATTAATCACGATCGTGCCCTTGATGGGAGTTTGGGGGAGCTTACTTCAAACGACGTTTTGGCACTGCTGTATACATCAGTTTTTGGAAGTGCCTTGAGCTATGGTGTTTACTTCTACAATGCAACATCAGGTCAGTCTAGCTTCATTTATAAATGAGCATTTAGGAGCAATCAATGTTTAATGGCTAGAAATGGCATTTTTTTTATTCTAGAAGGCATTATGTATCATTCTTGTCATTTTACTCGTATAACTTGCATTTTTTTACTTCAGTACATACCGTTTTAAGTCATCTAACACACTGCAGGCAGCCTTACAAAGCTCAGCTCACTTACCTTTTTGACTCCCATGTTCGCATCAATATTTGGGTAAGACATCTAGACAGAAATATTTTCCTACTTCATGAACTAGAAGTGAAGATAAATATTTTCAGCTGGTGTTTGATTTGTTGTGTGTGATCAGGTTCATATATCTTGGTGAGACCTTCACGCCACTTCAATTGGTTGGCGCACTGGTAACACTGGGAGCAATTTACATGGTTAACTATAAAAGCATGGGTGAAGCATGAAATGTTTTTTGATTATTGCACAGGAATTCACCTACAAATGTTTGCACAGAGAGTACCAGAGCAAACTTTACTTGTGAGAGAGTACCAGTTCAACAAATGTTTGCACAGGAATTCCTACAAGAGACTCATAGATACATGTTTAACATTACATACATGTGATAAACCGTAATGAAATGAATGTAGTGTAATCAAATATATTTTGAGTGCAAACTTATTGTTCCAAACATTACCTACTTACTGACTGATTCATGCATACATATATATTAAAAAACATGAATGAAACTAACGTGTGTTCATTGATTCCAGTTATACAAATAATAACCGGTTCCTAACTAAACCAAAAAGACCAAAGCACAAGACAACAAATATACTCTCAAGTGTCAACTCACACGCATAAACCCTCCTCTCAACTTGATGCAGTAGTAGTTGCAGCAACTGCTATACCATGGATGACATGTGGGGACCACCTCCAACTTTAACATTCCCCGCTCCACTTTGCTCCATATCCCTCTTCTTTTTTGCAGCTAACCTCCTCATACCACTTTCATCCATAATAGTAGTATCATGCCTTTGAACTCCGGCTAGTGGGCTCCTGTGGTTATCATCCCCCCTGCTGTAAGACCTTGAAGTTGAGTCACCTGAATTCGGTTCCCAAGTGGAAGAAGATGAGGAGAGCCAGTAAGGCTTCTGTTGACCGCTACTACCACCAGCAAAGCTGTTGCTCCCAGAGGATTCTTGATCTTCTTCATCACCCTCCTCATCTTCAACAATATTACCCCTTCTCAAAGTCACATACTTGTGAACGCTTGGCTCTATTGAGGAGGATTCTTGATCTTTCACCCCTATTATGCTTTTCGTGTTAACCAACTGATCAGATTTGAAGTTTCTTCTTCTGTCCTCAGAAGTGGAGGAGTTCAAGTCAGCCACTGCATCAAGGATTGAACAGGCCTTGGTGACACAAGCTGGGAGACTGAAAGCTGAGGGGGCGTTTGGGGTGTTCTTTTGATGAAAGTTTTGGATATCTTCAAGCAATAATGCCGTGTAGTTTTGAGTGGAACTTGAGCAATTTGATAATAGAGCTTCAGGGTTGATGTCTAAATCTCGAGACAATCTAGAGGACCTGCTTCTTGTTGTTACTGTTTTGAGACTTTCTACTGCTCCTGCTGGAGCAATCACATTCACTTTAGCACTATTCCCCCCAACCACTTTGTGCTCCTCCTCCACTATCACAAGATGCTCCTCCTCTTTAGTTTTGTTGTTAGAAATAAGCTTATTGGTATTACTTCCTTGCAATCCCACTTTCATGTTGCTAATATTCTCTCCATTCATCTTCTGCACCTGAGTGTAATCAAGAAAATATACATCATATTCCAGCTTTGAACTTTGGTGTATCAAGACAAACAAAACTATGAAAAAGTTAATCAATGATATGAACAGTTGCAAGCGAAAAATGAAAAGAAACACTATTTGACTCAACAAATTGAGTCCAACTATATCAAAAGTTTGAATGTTCAGGGTCAAGTTTGACAGGTAAACATGCCTAAAGACATTTATTTCATTATTATTGAGGGCTAAGTCTAGTACCTTGAGAGTTCAGGGTCAAGGTTATTTGTTAAGAGCTCGTTCGGTATGCTCAAATGGGCATACAAGCCTTGAAAGATTGGAAAGGAACATCAAAACACCTCAGGATGGTTGGGCATTTCAGCCAAATATTGACATATCGCTACTGTTTTTAACCTTTCCTTATTTTTTAAATGAACTGATACTTTTTCCTTTTTGGTGTTGCACTATACCAAAGAATGAAAGAAAGGAAGAATATACAAATATATCTTCATATTAAGAACAAAAAATACACCCCTCGCTTTTCTGTTATAATACTGTAGTTAAAATTTAAAAATAAAAAGGGAGAACTAGCAAATAAGCCCTCGAACTTTCATAAAAAGTGCAAATAAGTCCTTTTATAGGAGGCTTTGTCCTGACATCGCCATTTGGGGCGGTTTCCGGTGTAATTTTTTGATGACAGTTTTTGAGCATCTTTTTCATTAAGTCTAGTTTATTCGTACCAAATTTTATCTAAAAATTCAATGGGGAAGGAAGTCAAATGAATTTTTGAAGATTACTGAGCAGTTAGATAGCGCAGTATATTTCAGAAAATCATTTGACTGCCTTATCGATTGAATTTTTAGCTGAAATTTGGTATGAGTAAACTAGACTTAATGAAGAAGATGATCAAAACATTTCATCAAAAAACTCCACCGGAAACCGTCCCAAACGGCGTCAGCCGGACAAAGCCTCCCGTAAAAGGGCTTATTCGCACTTTTTATGAAAGTTCGAGTGCTTATTTGATAGTTCTCCCGAATAAAAATTATAAAGTTAGCACAAATGTGGCCTTATGAACAAATGGTTGAGAGAAATGGGAGATGTATAAGTTCTCTAATAAAGGGACTACATAATTCAAGAATATATTTACTCCAGATTAAAAAACATTTGCATTTGATCATTCCAAAAGAAATTTTAAACGTGCATTTGTTCCCTGGACATGCAAGTAAAATGAGGGATATATGTTCGTTCTTCCACTACAAAAAATACTACAAATCCTTGTAATTACATATCCATTCAACCATTTTAACCAAAAAGTAGTCAAAAACAATCACCAAACACTTTTATTTAGCCTATCCTCAACCAAATCATTAATACTCCCTCCCCGTCCCAAAAAATACTTCTCACTTTCCTTTATGAGCCGTTTCAAAAAATTCTTCCCACTTTTCCTTTTTGGACAATTTGTGTGACTCAAGTTCATTTTACCTTTTTCTTACACAACTACAATCATACATTTTCACTTTATTTCACTTTCTTAATAAGCGTGTCAAGTCAAATGAGGAAGTATTTTTTGGGAAGGAGGTAGTATGAGTTATCACCAAGATGGCTCTAATGTTCAAGGTTATTTTACTTTGGTTAGATTAAGAGCACCTCTCATCCATACTATCACATTTTTTAACACAAGCGGTGAAATCAAACAGGCAGTGATATAAAGGTAAGGAACATCAGTAAAACAAACTTAGCAAGCAGCCATACCTGCGAAGAAGAATTGTGTTTGGCAGGCTTATTATTAGTTCCTCCTGATGGTTCAATTATCACATTAGTGTCAATCTCACCCAGAGGGTTTCTTCTGAAAGGAGAGTGTTCTGCCTTCCTAGAATTGCTCCGGCTTAGCGAAGGCTGCTGCTGCTGCTGGTTCGTGGCAGGGGAACGAGCGCGAGGAGAAGCCACCACGGTGGTTCTTGAACCATCACCACCACCACCACCACCCACATTCCTCCTCACCTGAATCCTCTTCACAGCAGAAGCAGCTAAGATGTTCTCTCCATCAATGCTCTTATCCATTGCCACAGTGGCAGGCACAGAAACCATCTTTCCTGGCCTACAATTGCCAGAAGTAACTGTGTTTGGTGATTCAGACCTTTTACCAGGAGATCTGCTCACCCTCCTCCCACCACCAGCAGCGCCACCGCCACTTCTTTCTCTGCTTCCAGATCTTTGCTCATGTGGGTCCCTCTCCCTACTCGGAGTCCTCCTCCGGTTCCGGGAAGACGTGGAAGGGCTGAGGCTATGCCTCGGCTGGCGCTGCTGGCGTTGTCTCTGCCGGTGGAGTCTCTCTGTTTCCCCGTCGGCCTCCACATTCTCCTCAGCACCTTCGTTTTCCTTATCAAAGTCAAAGCTTCTCTTTGACCCAGAGTACTTCTTGGTCTTCTGTAGGCTGCCATTGTTGTTGTTGTCAGAAGATCCAACAGATCTGGAAGGGCTCCTACTGAGTTTCCCACACTGAATCAATATGGCATCAACCTCTTCTTTCGTACAGCTCGAAGTCCTCACTGGGGCTGAAACTACACTTAGGTGACTCAACCCATTCTTAATTGTGGGACCCTTGACTGGTTCGGAAACCTCATCCGGGTCCTTCTTGGAATCGCCATTTCCGTCTACGGACTGCCTCTCTGTCTCGTGGCTCTTCCTGTGCCTAATGACGAAAATATCCTTCTTTACTGCTCTCCCTTCTTCTTCTGGTTTCTTCTTCTGGAGATCTGGGGGTTTGGTTTCTTGCTTGGAGGGGTTCGAGTTAATTGCAGACTGCGCTATGGTGGGAGGAAGAGGAGGAGGAGAGGGAGCAGTGGCGCTCTTCTTGCTCAAGCAAGTTCCCATCTTTTACCCCCAAGAAGTGAGAAATGGGAAAATTACAGAACTGAGAGAGAAGGATTGAGTTCAAGAAATTCACTGATTTTTTGAAAATAAAGAGAGGGATTCAAATTTTGAGTGCAGGCGGGGGGCAGGGCAATGTGATAATAGAGCCGTTATGGATTCTTCTTCTTTTGTGACAGGAAATAGATAGATAATAATAATGGTGTCAGGCTGTCAGGTACTTAGTGCCCTCGCTTTCGCGTAATAATTACGAAAAGCGAATTAATATACTCTGGTGTGCATTTGGTTTGAATATAACGCATTAGTTTGACAAAATATGGAAAATGTAAGGTGATTACCCGATTCATATCTCAACGGTACGCTTGATGGGCACGTGCAGTTGTACTCTATTGTCCCATTGTTCTCTGAGTTTATATTTGAAAAAATTGAATAAAAATATGGAGCATATTAATATGGAGCATCTTATTATGATGCATCATGAACGACTATGATTCACTAAATACTTTAAGGTCCTGTTTTATTCACGAAATGTCACATCACTTTGGGAATGTCAGATTATTCGGCATGTTTGATTGATGAGAATGTATTCAATTATATCTCATTTGTGCTTTGGTTGAGACTCAGGGAATATCACATTAATTTGTTTGGTTGAATGATATCTTATACTAGAGTTGGTGATTCTTTTAGCACAATAAATTTATTACAACCTACATTTAAACTAACTTAAATTAAAGAAAAAAAAGAAATACTTTAACAATAAAAAATCAAAACTAAATGAATTAATATGATTAATTGTACAAATGACAAAGATACGTTGTGGATGTTGCACCCGAAGAGAGAGATTAGTGAACATTAAAAAATAATTTTGTTTAAATAAATACATAATGACATACATTAATAAATAAATGTGAATATATCATTATCAAAACAGTTGTATAAAAAGAACAAGTCAATGTTGCTCTACTTAATTTTGCTAAACTCTGTTTTCAAGTTAGCAAACGAGTGAACTAAATTCTTAAAACCAATAGGCACAATAATAAGAAAAGCATATTTAAATCTGCTTATGATTCAAAGAAAAATTAGAAGGTTAAAGATAAACTAAAGAACGTCATAATGTGTTGAAAAAATGTATAGAAAATTAAAATAGATTAAAAAGAAAATTAAGGAATAATCAAAAGAAGATTAAAGAGGATTAAAGATTAAATTTAGAGGGAGCAATTACTTGATGTAGGAGACTCTTGTAAAATGAAGATGATTTTTTTTGGACAGAATGATTGGATAGGAGACCTAAATAGGATTGAAGAGCTATTATAGAATGCTAATTAAATTAGCATGAGTAAGTTTTAATCAAGGAGGGAGGAATGTAAGATAACCTAAGAGGTATATGGGTTTGACATTCCTAGACATGTCACTCCATTATTTTCTATTTGGGAATATAACATTCCCAAAAAAATCAGACCCGTGAACCAAACGCGAACATCTCACATTCCGGGCATTAGATTCGGACCTCCATAGATGATTACCCCCAACCAAACATACCCTAAGGGTATATTTGGTTCAATGAATGTCAGATTACTATGGGAATTTCAGATTATTGGGTATGTTATATTGATGAGAATGTATTCAATTGATTCCCATTTGTGTTTGGTTAACCTCAAGAGAGTGTGTCATAATTTATTTGGTTGAAAGATATCTTATATCACAGATATGATGAATTACTTTTATGCCCTTTAAATCTATAACTCTTATAACATAAATACCTTTAAAAATTAAATGTTAAGGCAAAAAATATGCAAATAACAAGAATAGACATTCAAATATAAGTAATACTTTGTTCGTCCCACCTAATTTACATTGTGTTCGTCTATTTGTGTAGGGCTTACACACTGAATATAATCTGTGTCCGTTTAGGGATTACGCACTCCAAATATAATCTTTATTTGCATATGACTTACACACCCCCAAATATAATCGATGTTCGTTTAGGGCTTATTCACCCGAATATAATCTATTTGCCTAGAGCTTACACACCCCGAATATCGCATAACTTCTATGTCCTCATTTGACCATAGATTCAACTATAATAATACTTCCTATCTTTGAGTAATCGTAATCTATCAACCTCAGGCTAGTCTTTATCAAGACTTCCTGGGCTGCCCTCACATGGTCTTAGATAGACTTCACCTTTCTATATGAGCATGATCAGGTCTTAGATAGTCTTCACCTTTCTATTTGAGCATGACCGTAGTCCATCACTCATTTTAAATAAATACTTGATATCTTGAATAAAACTCACAAGTAATCAACAAGAATTCATATCAACTCATCTATCACAATAAGATTCCTTACATTATGTTTCACCACTTTGTCTTTTCACATATGTGTATCCATTTATCCTTTTTCATATCCACATAGCAATCATACATAATTCACATTTTGTATATCACTCGAATCCATCAATATTAAGTCAACAGACCTAGTATCTCAAGAATCTTTCCCCTCATGGATAGTCTCTTTGCTTATTCACATTTTTATAATCATTTATCATTGTCCACATAGCAATAACGCATTATTCACATTCAAATATACCATTTAATTCCATCAAAATCATATTTTGAGTACTTAGGTAATCTCATGCTCAACTCACTAAATATAAACAACATAAGTCTGTCATCCTCACTTCAAATATGTCCAACAAGCTTTCCTATCGAAGCCCCATTGTCAAACCCCCCAAATGAGGATGATTCAAAATGAAGTTGTTGGATAGTGAGAAAAAGTCGAGCTGCTTTCACCAAATACTACACAACATTTGGCCCATGGAGCATGAATCAGCCTCCTTTCAATGCCGATTTCTGGGGGGGGGGGGGGGGGGGTTCACATCCTATCGGTTCAACAACTCTTCTAAGTTAAATACCAACACTTTATAACATTATTCCGCACATTTAAATTTGTAGGAAATCCTATTTATTCCACCATATGATTTCCTGAAAATCATATGAAGAACTAGTAACTATAAGAACGCTAGTTAGGTTCGTACCTCCAATTCTTGCATGCTCTTCTTAGATTTCTTCTCCTCTGGCTTTCTCCAAGATAGATTTTAGTGAGAGCTGCTCCCATACATCCCTCTCTCACTAAATGATGCTTGTGGTTCTCAAATGAGAGGAAAGGATAAGGTCCCCTCACTTATCCTTATTGTTTTTAGAAACTTGGGCTTATTTAGTTGGTTTTGCTTCATTGGGTGGGCTTTTTATTTAATCCCACCCAATGCATCATGTGAGAAATGAAAGTTTGAAAAGACTAAACATTACACCTACAACCATTTATCTTGATCATACTTTTTTGGAACACTCAACTTCACATTTTCAAATCAAAGTTTTGGCTAATTATGTTTGGGGCAAATTCTAGAATTAGATGCATGTGTTTTGGCTATATATTTATGAGACAGATTCTATAATTCGGTATGATTTTGATTATTTTTTGGGCAAATTCTAGAAGGAGAGTCTCTGCGCTATACATTTTGGAAGCATATTCTAGAATTGGTTGTACGTTTGCAATATACTTAAGGCGAATTCCAGAATCAAATTATCTTTTGATTATATAAACTCAGACATTCTAGAATCAAGTGTCACAATCTATTTTTGGCCGGATTTTTTATTTTATTATACCCAATTAATTCACTTTGATTCAAAAAGTTTAACTCGACTTCTTTCCATTGTTCATATATTTCATTATTACTTGTCATATCTTTAACCTATTTCATATATATCTATCTTTTTAACCAGTTTATAGGTATAAATACTTTCATGACGTCTATCATTATCATGTGCTAATTATCCCTAATATAATCATCTCAAGAGTACAAATATAAGTACATAACTCTTTTTACTTTCTCATTCATGTAACTAATAAAGAGTTCACATTTCAACAATCTTTTTTAGATGTAAACATTCGTAAATATATATACACTATAAAATATTGTAGAATGGAGACCCAGGCCACTTGAATTCACAAGAAACATTTTGATAGTTGGATGCGCCACATGCACCTACATCAAAATAATAACTCTATTATTATGATATTGTTACATATGATGCACTCTTATTAACATGTTTTTCATCGAACATATTTTTCAATTTCCTCCATCCCTAGTTACATGAACGTAGCTAGTGGGATCATAACATGTATCGGTCCATCCCAAATTAAAAAGATGCTTTGAATTTGTATGTAAAATATATTTAAAAGATTATCTCAATTTTTTTTTTTGTAACAATTTAGTTCAATATACCCATGACTATACTACTGCCCAGTCAGCCATTTTGATGGACACAAGAATTGAAGAGTACAGAAACCCACTTAGCTGTGATTTACTTGTGTGGGCCGAACGTCACATAGGTTGAAAAATATTAAATCCGCCCGTTCAAAGTAAAATATTTTGGCCCAGTTCAGCGGAGAAATGCTTATGACTCGACAATAGAAAAACTAAAATGTTAATTCAGAACGGCAAAACTTCAAGGCTTTGCTTCAATTGCTTGGGGATAGCAAGAGAAGTGTAAGCACTTGCAACCACCGGACTCCGTAGCATTCTAGCGAAGATTTATTTCAACTCTGATCAGAAAGTCAGTATTTCATTCCTAAAGTAGTTCTTCATTTGAGTTCTTAACTTATTTACTGGAGTACTATTTATGCTTTGGTTGTTAATCTACTAGTAGTATATTTTTAGCAGTTCTTAACATTACAGTGCATTTCAGTTGATTTTGTTGTTTTTTTAACAATAGAGTCAATATTGTCATCCCGCTCTCATATCCTGTCAATATTGTGGAGTAACTCGATGGGAGTTACTCTATTGGTATTTAAATGAAACTCAGTTATAGGATAAAGTTAATGTCTATATTTCATTTGTACTGTTGATATAGCAACTTATTCGGATAGATTTTATTCAGTTGAATTACTTCACCAGATCGAGATCCATTAGATCTCTGTGAAGCTAGACTATTGAGTGTTTTTTTGGTGGGAGTTTTATAGCCATTGTTTTTGTTTTCTACTCCGTAGTTTTACCAGTGAGATACATCATCAAATAATATGTGCTGATGTAATTAATACTAGCATTTTCTGAGTAAATAGAGCATATTTGGTGTAAATAGAGTTTTAGATTCGAAATTTGGTTCATAAGGTGTAGTAATACGAAAAGTAGGCATGTAAATGCCTTCACATTTAAGTTGCTGAAAATGATCATCTCAGTATTTTTGTCATATACTCCATATTTTCTTAAAGATGATCAGTAAAATATATTTTTAGTTTCCCCCCATATTCCAGTGTATTCTATTTCCCCATTTTGGCTTAAAATTCATGAAGGTGTTCAAAAAATTCAACTATTTTAAGCTTTACCATATAGTTTTTGTTTTTGTTTTCTGAAGGAAGGAGAGGCAATCATATTGTCTCTCTTTCTTGGTCATCGACAAGTTTAAATAAGGGTAGGATAACCCATTCCAAATCCCATACTCTTTAAAAATTATAGTCAGGATGCTCTAAAACACCGGGCTAGACTTTGCAGTTTAAACAAAGAGAAAATTACGAGAGTTTTTGTCCCACAAAACCAAACTGATGACCACTAACATATAAATTGAGTATGTTACTCCCTATGTTAAGATGCCAACTATGTGAGTATCTTGTACTTCAAATATATACACCTTTTATCTTACTAAACTATTCCAATTTTGAATTGCATGTGGAATAAGAAAATAATTTGTGTGGTTAAAGTTTGTGTAAAAGAAAGAGAAATAATATAAACCACAACCTTGTTTCGGATTTCTATAAATGAAAAGTGACAAAGTTTTTTAGAAAATTATAGATAAGAAAATAGTCAAGTTTAGTAGGACAGAAGGAGTACTTTTATTTTTTTAATTACTAACCAATCTAACCTGAAGCTTAGACTGAACTAACAATGCGGAAAGGTAGCCTTTTTCTTAATCTAAAATAACACGTCCCAAAATGTTTGAACTTTTCTTGGTCCCAACTAAAACCAGGTGTTACATGGCCCACTTGCCTCACTCCCTGAATGTAAACTAAAGGGAAAACAATAAGTATACAGTTACATTTTTGTGTTGTTTGTGTACATTCATATGTGACATCCAATGTGTATTCACATATATTAAGTTAAAAAATGTATACCACATATGAGTGCACATAAAAAAATGTTGGAAAAAATGTTTACCCAGCCTTACTCGCTGCAAAATACTTTATGGAGTATCATATAAGATTTCTCATTGCCTTCAAATTATTAATATGGGGCAAGGGGGAGTAGTTTGATAGGGCCACGAACCTAATTCACTCGTGATTGGTAAACTTTATCCAGGCTAGCGAATAGTGCAATGCACGAGTGTTCAAAAAGTTTGCCTTATTCAGAGCTAAAACCCTACTCCGCGGCATAGCAAAGAAGAATTTTACCGTAGCAGGAACAGTCTAGCTACACTTTGAGGTATTCTCTTGATTTTAATTTAATTTTATTTTATTTCATTTTTGTTTCCATTCCTAGATTTCTTGCAAACACTTGCTGGTTCTACTATTCTGCATGTATGCTCTTAATAAAAGAGTTTATTTTAAATATATGTGAAAGATGCATATATACAGGGAGTATATTTATTTTTGATAATCACTTTTTTCAGAAAATGATCAAAGTGGAGGCTGATGATGACTCGGAAGCTACTATTCATCAGAATAACGACATAGTAGATGTTGTCTTGTCTTGGTCATTCGAGGATGTTCTTAACAAAGACCTTTACAAGGACAAGGTTTGCCGTTCGCATAACCTATTTTCCATTGGAAGTATTTCATTTTAGTCACACCATCCTTGGTGCTCTCAAATTGTAGCTTCAATGGTTCTCTGATTTCTTTCATGCTCTTAATTGGCAAGTTATTTGTACATTGAGTTGGTGTTGCCTATTTGGTATTATTTTTTTATATTAAAAAGAAACTGCAATTGTTTCATTATTTCCACCTATGTTCCTGTTGTTTAAGTTTCAAAGCCCCAATGCATTGACATGGTATGTGTTTAAAAGTAGGCTAGTTAAGTTACTTTGTCCCATTAATCCTTGATGGAAAAAACAACCATATGTGGCTAAACATATCATAGATTATAATGGAAAGGGTTAATGCCTAATCATTCAGCAATGTAGTTTTCCTTTTTAATCCTCTGCCTAATCTTTAATTCTTTAGTTGCCTACCCTATTTCACAAGGCTTGTGCATAAATAGCATAATGCATCATGAAGGCCAAAGAAAATATAAAAAATGCTTATCTTATGAGGTGATAAATTACTTGTATTGCAAGACTGCAGTAAATTATTGTTTATGACTTTAAAACTTGTAGTAACTAATTATAATTTCTCAATCATTTTCAAGTCTTTCTTGTTCTCTTGACCATTCTAAATTCTTGTTTATGTTTTTCAAATCCCTACAGGTGCAGAACATACCTCTTGAATTTGAGTCTTTGTCTTCTTATCTAAGAGCATTTGCTCTCCCTCTTGTTGAAGAAACTCATGCTGATTTATTTTCTAGCATAGATACTGTGTCAAACACATCTACATACAGAATAATGTCTATTGAGTCTGAAAAAGAAGAGCTTGGGTATGATGGGTTATCTAAGAAACCAATCTTCACTATTGAAACCGAAACAAAAGATGCTTCACGTGATCCTGAGACAGGCGATCTCATTGCCTTTACAGATGTAATCCCAAAATGTGTTGAAGATCTGAGTAGACCCGCCGTGCCCTATCTTACTGCCCTAGTTCAGAGGGTGTCAGATAAAAGAGACCATTTCAGGATTCAGATTCTATCATCCAAACACATCTTGCGTGAACTAGCCAATCAGATACTCCAGGAAAATAAAACCTTATATGCTGTTTTCCTTATAAACATGTTGACAAATATTCGCATTTGGACTGCATTGAACTTGAGGTCTGAAGGGAGGAACCTGAAAATCATTGAGAAAGTGCTGCAACCTAGTTATTCCGTAAGCATCATGCCTTCTTAACTTACAATCTTGGATATATGTTCACTTTGTCTGCCATAGCTTTTATGATTTCCCTAATGCTTTTCCAATTGACTATGACACTCTTTTCTCTGTGAATATTCATTCTTTTTTCCTTTTCTCATTTTAATTTAAGAATACATTCTTACTTACCAATTAAGAAGTGGGGCTTCCAATTTCATTTTTACTGACCGAAAACAGACCAATTTAAACAAATTCTACTCTTTTCTTTTTCTTCTTCATGTTTCACATAACCTGACAGAGTAAGGAAAGATGTAGTCACTGCTTGAAAAATGGAACATATTCTGCTTCTAAATGCCAAGTACTTGCATCGACTCGTTCTATGACTCTGAATGAATTCCAACAAGAGGCAGTAGAGATATGTTTTGCCATAAAGTATTGTGACCACGAGAGTACAACCAAACTAATTTGGGGTCCTCCAGGAACAGGAAAAACAAAGACAACATGTGCGTTATTATTTGCACTTTTAAGTCAGAAATGTAGAACACTTACTTGTGCTCCAACTAACATAGCAGTAGTAGAAGTTGCTTCAAGGCTTATGCGGCTGGTGATGGAATCACTTAACTGTCTATCTTATGGCTATGGACTTGGGGATGTAGTTTTGTTTGGAAACAAAAAAAGGATGAAATTGGTCGATGAAAGCGAACTAGTTCATGTCTTTCTTGATCACCGTATAAAAGTTCTAAAAAGTTGCCTTGCTCCCAAATCCGGCTGGAGTCATATGTTGGATTCTTTGGTTTGCTTAATCCAAGATCCTGAATATCAATTTAAAGTGTACTTAACGAACGACCAGGATGATGATGAATGCTATAATATAGAATACAAGGATGGTTATTGTAGTGATTCTTGTGGATCTATGGATAAAGGCTTCAAATATGAGGCAAACATGAGGATTTGGCATGAAGTCTTTGCCAAGTCTTTGAAATTAGACAAAAAGGAGAACCGGGCTGCCAGACAAGGGTGCCAGAATAAAAAGTCTGTCCCTAAAAAAGACGGTAACCTTCCAAGGCGTAGAGCAAGATTAAAATTTGAGGAATTTCTCATAAAGAAATTGAGCTGTAAAGTAGAGGACATAAAATTTTGCATTGTGAATCTTATAAGTCACCTACCGACGTCGTTACTATCGATAGGAGTTGCAAATGACATGACAAAAGCTTTAAAGTTATTGGGGTATTTTCATAGTTTACTATGTAGGTTTATGGTTGCCGGCGGTAACTTGAGAGAAGTCTTCGCTAAAAGAAGAGGTGAGCAAAGAAATGTGGATGGATGTATTGAGCTGGAATTGGTCAAAAATGAGTGTTTGCTGATACTCGAATCCCTTCCTAAGCGTTTCTTTGTGAAGGCAGACACGTACTCAATGAGAGAAGAAATATTGGAAAGTTCATGCTTACTTTTCTGCACTGCCTCATCAGCCATCAAATTATACTGTACAGAAGTAGAGTTGTTAGTTATTGATGAAGCTGCTCAGCTCAAAGAGTGTGAATCAACTATTCCTCTGCAAATTCCTGGTCTTCGTCATGCTGTACTCATTGGGGATGAGCAACAGCTTCCTGCATTGGTTAAAAGCGAGGTTTGCACAGTCTATTTTTTTTTTCAAATTCACAAACTGGATTTTATTTCCAATAATAACTTTTCTGGTTCAGATTTGCAAAGAGATAGGTTTTGGAAGAAGCTTGTTCCAAAGGTTGGCAACAAAAGGTTACAAAAAACACCTTCTCAGTGTCCAGTATAGAATGCACCCTTCAATAAGCTCATTTCCTAACAAGGCGTTTTACCAAAATAGAATTTTTGATTCCCCAAGTGTCAAAAGTGAAGTATATGAGAAGAGCTTTCTTCAAGGTGACATGTATGGCACTTATTCCTTTATTGATGTGCGATGTGGAAATGAAGAAGTGATAAGTGGGCATAAATTCAGGAACATGGTTGAGGTAGCAGTGGTTTGTGAGGTAGTTGCAAACCTCTTTCGAGGTACAACTGTCATGACATTTAAAAACTTTCGGTCTTTTTACTTTAGAAGATCGTTTTTTATTTACTTATATCATTTCTTTTCTTGTTTCAGAATGTGCCAGGTGGAAACAAAAGGTCACTGTTGGGATCATATCACCATATGCTGCCCAAGTTGATGCAATCAAAGAGAATGTTTTGACTGCATACAACATGCATGCATATAACGGCTTTTCTGTTGATGTTCGCTCTGTGGATGGTTTTCAAGGAGGTGAGAAGGATATAATTATAATCTCAACTGTAAGATCAAATGGGAGTGGATCTGTTGGCTTCCTTACTAGCAGTCAAAGGGCAAATGTTGCTCTCACTAGAGCAAGGTATTACTTTGTAACTTATTAAGGGGAGATTTCTCAATATAGGAGTATAAACAATCTGAAATTCCAAAATAGGAGTACTATGTTTCTCCCCTACATGGAGTAAGTTACTGTCATCCTAAAATCATATTGCCCTATTTTGGCATTAATGGTAATATTAATGTCATAATTAACCGTATTTTCCAAACATGACGGATATTACACCTATTTATGGGAAAACATATTACTTCTATCTTGAAATTTCGCATCGCTTTACTCTTATTTAGGACAATTTATTTTTATTAAATGTTATTTTTGTCATTATGTTTTTCATGATAATTTTTCTTGGCTCCTAAACTACTAGAAGCTGCTGTGCAGGCATGCCCTATGGATTATTGGCAATGGAGCAACTCTTAAAGGGCGTGATTCTGTTTGGAGACAAGTTGTTAATGATGCAAAGAGTAGGAAGTGTTTTTATGATGCTTGTGAAGACATAAACTTAGCAAAAGCCATGGCAGCTTCACTGGTAGATGTTGACATACTTGATATCAGACTCTATTTAGAACAGCGACTGTTCAAATCTGCAAAGTTCCAGGTATGCTCCATTGGTTTTTTATTTTGGATTCTGTTTCTTTTATTGGCGAATATGAACCATCAACTCAGCATGGGGCCACTGGTTTAACCATAGGACAACTCACCTACCAATCACTTTTTCTTGGAAGATTTGGATGCTCGACATTCATTTTCATGGTTTCACCTTGGCCAAAAAATCTGCTTGGACTAGTTGAGGATCCATTTCGTTTTTGTAGTCAAAGGCTCAATTCAGAACATGGGAAATGCTATGGAATGAAAATAGGGGGGAGTTTTGCAGGAAAGAAAACGTAGGAGAAAAAAAGGTTCACACCCCTCGATATATCAATTTTAGATATTTTTTGAAACTCCTTTTATTTGCATATTTATGATATAGAAAGTTTAAGGATATAAGTGCACTAAACTTTGAAAGTTATATTCAAATTTTATTTGCCATATACTTTCCAAGATAAAAACCAAACAAAAAAATTGTCTTCTACATTTCTTTTTTCTCTTTCCTCACTGTTTCCTGAGTTCCAAATATAAATGGAAATGTTATGATTGATTAGAGATTAACAAGTCTCTTTTGCATTTATGACTTCCCTAAAGTCCAATTTTTACTGGTTTTTGAAAAGTTTGGGACTCTTTGTATTTGTTACGCAAGGCATCTACATCTCTGTGTGCTACAGGTGGTCAATGTCCATGAAAGCTTTTGGAAAGCAATGTCAAGGATAAGTAGCATAGATTTTCGTAAAAAGGCCATATCTGTACTGATGAAGATATCAGATGGTTCACATCAGCAGCCTCAGAATAACCAACTGTGTGTGACAAACAACAATAAGATGCTCACAGAGTCTTTGCTTTATGAGATTGACGGCCTTGTTTATATTGTTGCAACCCTTGACACCGTACAGGAGGCTTCTAAGGTTACTGAACTTATCAACATCTGGGATATACGGCCATTGGTTGATAATAATAATAATAATAATAACCATCAAGATCCTCTGCTACAGTTATGTTTGCAGTTTGCTGCCCTCTCTCTCAAGGGTGAACCATAATCCCCCATCACTGGAAGCTTATTTGGCACTTGCAGCTTTTTTTGTTCTTTAACATGTGTAAATATACATGCATAGATACATATATATCCTTTTGGATGAATCGTTCCACATATATAATTGGGCATACTTGACAATTGCTTCATAGCAATCACAAACTCATTCCATCGACAGAGTTCCAGATTAACCATTTTTTTGTACAGAAGATTGTGAAACCTAAATTTGATGTGTTAAAATTTATCAATTCTCTACCCTCATGACATGATATTTGATCTTATTTACAACTTATTTTACTCACATTTACAGGCTATAGATTCGCAAATATCATATGATGAGGAATGATATGCCCCACTTCCTTTGTTATACATTCTTAGGAATTAGTGAATAACTACAAAATCTGGAAGTAATACTGTATTAAGGATTGATTAGACGTGGTCCGTTACATTATTATTATTGGCGTGTCCCCAAGTTATATCATATCCGTATATAAATGTCTGAAGATCTCCGATGGTGGTTAAAAACGGGCATTGCAAGACATGGGTGTGATTAATAATTTAATACCTGTTTGACGGAGAGTTTTACAAATGGGAAGGAACGGGCTTCGGGAGTGGATGGGCTTTGGGCTCAAGGAGTTTGGGCCCGATACCTGCCCTGGTTTGTACCGGTACTGGGTCGGGCTGGGCCCAAATAGTACCGGGCTGGGCTGGGCTTTGAGATGGGACTGAGAATTCAATTTAAAAAATAGTGCAGTCGGGCCTATACAGTAATGGGTCGGGCCTAAACAGTACCGGACCCGAGTCGGGCCGACCCGTCCCAGTCCATCCTTACGCCAGAGGCTAAGTTCAATGGACACGACTAGGGGTGGATTGGGCCCGGGGCCCGGACCGGTGGTTATAAGGGGCGGGCTTTGAGCTCAATTTTTTGGGCTCGGCCTGGCCCGAGCCTGCTTCGGCCTGACCCGAGCCCGGTCTGGGCCAACCTGCACTATTTTTTTAAATAATTAAATGGGTGGTACTGACCCGGCCTCGACCCAGCCTGATATTGTTTGGGCCTGAACCGGAACTGATACCGGTACCGGAGCAAACCGGGCTTGTACCGGGCCAAAATGTTGCAGAAAAAAGCCCGTCGGGGTTGGGCCCAACCCAGCCCTGCCCGAGTCCACCCCTAGACGCGACTACGTGAGTAGAGTTTAATATTTAAATAAATCTCTTTTATTTTATTTTTGGTTTTATGCTATGGAAAACACAACTCTCTTTGTCCTATAAATTTGGTCAAAATTGTTTTGCACATGGAAAAATAAAGTAAAAATTGTGTAATTGATATTTGTACAAAAAAGGTAGAAATAAATGTAACCGCATATTTATTAATTTAAATGGGAATGATTAAATTTTCTGGGACATTAAAATCAGAAAATTTACCCCACAACTAAATATGCATATAACCATCGTAGCATACAAGGTTGACATAAGTGGAGCAAGAAAATGTTTTTGTAGTTGGCTTGTATTTAGTACTTGTTCTATGTTACTCTGTCCCCCTAAAAAAAGAAGAATGAATTGTGTGGTTGGTATTTAACACTTTTTTTTCTTAGTCCCCCTAAGTTTGGGACAAAGAGGTGTTGTGTGGTGATAGAGTATATGACCCGGGAACCCCCGGCCCACCGACTCCTACTACACCAATAAAGGCCTAACCGGCCCAGGAAGCACAACAGGCCCCAAATTACGGCGCCCCAAGCACTTAGCAGCCCACAACGCACACTGGGGAGCCTTCGGCCCCTGGCCGAAGGCTCAAAACTCTCACATAACAGATTTTTCAGGCAAACTAAGAAACTGGGAGAAAACGACAGAAAACAATAGCCCTCGGCAACCTGGAGCCCTCGGCACCCAGGGGGTCCCCGGCACTCAGAGCCCTCGGCTAGTCCTCTGCAGCCGAGGGCACCTCTCCCGACATAATATCCGCGCCACATGCGTACAGATCACCATACCCTGTACAACGTCCCATCCAACAGCCGCATTAAATGCGGCCACATTCGGCTGCCAGCGCCAACCAGTTGAGGTGACCTCTCGGCCAATGGGCACTTGACACGTGTCCCTGTCCGACATTTATTGCTACTATAAATAGCACCCCTTTTCCCCATTTGTAACCAGGTCATAAACGCTTTAACGCCTAAACTCAATATACTTTCTCTCTCTTACTTGCTCTGACTTCTCTCTAAGCTACTCCTCGCGGTAAACCCTCGGATAAGCTACCCCCCGGGTACACTATCCATCATTTGGTGCTCTCGTTGAGAGGTCGAACAATCGAGTAAGAAACCCTCCCCCTTCGCCAAACACTAGCCCTCTACCAAAATGGTGAGAACTACACGTGCCAACTCCAAAAACGTAGAAGACAAGAACCTGGCCCTCGGCGACGTCAACGCCCCCGAAGCCTCTCACAGGGCTCCCGAGGGCGGTGTCATCGCTGGGCTGGAACAGGCGGCTGTCGACCTACGCCTTCAGATCCAGCAGAATGCCCCCGATGCCCGCCTCGGCATCGAGGCCAAGAAGAAGAACCAGAGCGATGACCAAATCAGCCCTCCGGTTCTCACCATCGACGTTCATTCGACGCTCTCCGCCTTCATCCAAACGCTCACTCAGAACCCAGGTTGGGGAGAACATCATACTTTCCCCTCTGCCACATCCCTTCGGAAACCCCATCCCTCGGGTTAGGAATGACGAAGGGGTAGTGGCCCAAGATACGGCCTCCCAGAAAGTTCAGTCCCAGGATCGCCACAATGACAACAGAGAAAGGCCTCGCACTTCCGCCCTCAACCGGCTCGGAGGGGGGCAAGACCGCCAAGGGGTCCATGATCGCCTCGGAGGAAAAGCACTCCAAAGGCCCCAGGAAAGCGGAGGGTCTGTCTCGAGGGCAGACGAGGAGCGTCCCCCTCGGGACAAAGGCAAGGCACCCCTTCATGCGGACGATGCTCGCCACCAAATCAACCAGGCCCACTCGACCCGGGTTCGTTCGCAGGGGGCGGAGACCCTCCCGAAGGACCCTCGGGACGAAATTATTACGGCCCTCCAACGCCGACTTGATGAAATGGAGGCCAACAAAGCTCACGCCACCACCTCCACCCCTCATTCAGACCTCAAATACGAGGCCATGATGGCGAAAATGGAGGAATTACAGAAGAAGGTAGCTGAGGGCTCCGGGGAACCCGTCATCCAGCTCCGGACCCGGACGCCATTTACCCCAAGGGTATTGGCGGCCCGGATCCCGGAAAAATACCGAGGGCAACGCATACAGCCCTACAACGGGAAGACGGCCCCCCAGGAACACTACAGCAAATATCAGAACAACATGATGATGGTAGGGGCGTCGGACGAATATTTGTGTCGTTGGTTCCTCTCCACCTTAGAGGGGCCGGCGTACGAATGGTTCAACCGGTTGCCCGAAGGCTGCATTGATTCGTGGCAAGAACTCGCCCAGCGATTCTTGACGCAATTTGCCAGGAGGCGTCGCACGAGGAAGCACTTCTCCCACCTCCTAACCATACGCCAAAGGAGGGATGAGACCCTTCGGGACTTCCTGAAGCGCTGGAGAACGGAAGCTGACAAAGTCGACGGTGCTGACGACGGGACCCTCCTGGCCCTCCTGCAAACCGTACTCCGCACCGACAACTTTTCAAGGAGCCTCATCATTGAACCCCCCGCGACTACATAAGGGCCCTGCAGCGGGGACCCCGATATGCTGAGGCCGAGGAGGTGGAAAAATACCACCAGCATCCGGATCAGCAGCCCCCGAAGGCTGACAACAAGAACAACCGAGGGCCGGGGGCTCCTCCAAATCACCCCAAGTCTTCAGGACCCTCTGATGACCGCCCTCGGCAAGGCCAGGCTAAGCCCGGGGGAGGTTATAAGAGCAGCCCTAAGACTTGGGCACAACCCATTCTCCTGGACCGCCCCCGGACACCATTGACGCACCCCGTCAGCATCATCCTTGATTTTGCCGAGGAGAGGGGCCTCGTTGAGCGCGATTCTCGCGCACCCCCGGAGGTACATGCTATCAACCCTCAGTTACCCTACTGTCGTTTCCATCGGCATCAGGGGCACAAAACCGATGACTGCCATCAGCTAAAGACGGCCATCGAGAGATTGATACAAGCGGGCCATCTGTCCCAGTTTATCCAGAGCCTTCGGCAGGAGGGACCTTCTCATCAGGGACCTCCCCGAGGGCACCACACGAAGGTGAACGCTTGGGTGAACCCGAACACCATCCCCCTCGGCAAGAAGAGGGAGATCGGAAACTTGGAGGAGGAAGAGGAGGAGTACCCCCACTACCAGGAGAAAAAACGCCACATCCTCATGATCACCGGTGGCAATACATGGGGCGATTCCACCAGCCATCAGAAGAAGTGGGCTCAATCGCTTTACGTGGGGGAAGTCACTCATATGCCCCCGGTAAAGCGACTGAGGGAGGAACCCATCACCTTCACCAACGTAGATCTCCCTCCTACTTCTTCTCCTCACAGGGATGCCTTGGTGATTCGGACTGAAATAAACGACACCATCATTCACCGAACTTCTATTGACACAGGCAGCTCCGTCAATGTAATGTACCTCAGCACCTTTAGAGAGCTGCATCTGGAGAGGGGGTCCCTTCGGCCCATTAAGACCCTTCTTGCCGGCTTCACCGACGATACTATTGATTCTGAGGGGGTAATAACCCTCCCGGTAATCTTCGGCGACGGGCTCCATAGAGCCCAGCTCGAAGTGGAGTTCGTCGTCGTCAACATTGACTGCGCCCACAACATCATCCTCGGCCGGCCAGCCCTCGAGGACCTCGAGGCCATCATCTCCATGAGGCACCTCTGCCTCAAGTTCCCCGCCGAGGGGGGCATTGGCTACTCCCGGGGGAATCAGAAAATTGCCCGCGCTTGCTATCTTCAAGTCACGAAGAGGGTAAGTAATACAGAATTCCGCGTTGACACCATCACCGGAACCATCGACGAAGAAGAAAAGAGGCCGAGGGCTGAACCAGCCGAGGACGTAGAAGACTTTGCGCTCGATCCGGCCCAGCCGGAGAGAGTCGTGAAGATTGGAGCCCAGCTCCCTGAAGATCTGAAGACCGGTATCACCGACGCTCTCCGCGCCTACTCCACTGTATTTGCATGGGGGCTGGAGGACATGTCGGGAATAAGCCGAAGGGTCATCACCCACCGCCTCTCGGTGGACCCCTCGGCAAAAGCAGTACAACAACGAAGAAGACCCCTCTCCGCCGAAAGGAGGGAATTTGTGAAGAAGGAGT